ACCCTCTACAGCCCTCAGGGAGCGTGGCTCTGCCAGTGTGTCCTTGTGTGCCCCCTCCGTGCCCCACAGGGCCCATCGATAACGTCGGGGCACCCCACGTCCTGCCTCACCAGACAGCCATCAGGGTTAATTAACGATGGGGCAGGCCTGAAAACATGGGTGCAAAAGCAAATCGCATTGATTTCACTGTATCCTTTGCTGAGCTCCTGTATCACTCAGATGAGATCCCCTTTGGGTTTTAGAACTGGGGATTTCTTGGAAGAGTTTGTTCAAAACAAACACAAGCATCTTAAACCTGGAAAATAAAAGGCATTAAAATACAATAACAAGACGAAGGCAAAGGAGGGGTCTGAGCTTCTTTCCTTGGAAAAGCAGCCCTCATTCCACAGCAGATCGTTGCACACACAGGCCCAGGGTGCTGAGCTGCAGGACGAGCCAGCCCCAGACCCACCGACCTGGGTGCCCTCCTCCCACCTGGACCCTGGCCGCTACCGCATTTCAGAGGGTGCTTTGAAAAGTAACCTCTTCCGGGCAGAGACCTGAGAACACCTGGAAACTCAGAGAAGCAGCACCTGCTCCTGGGAAGCTGCCGAAGGTTCTCCCAACGCAGCAGGGTCCGGCTGCGCCAACAAGCGGCCCTGGCCCCCAGGCTCCTCCCCTGCCTCCAGAAGGGCCCCTCCCGCCTCAGGGCCCCCAAGCACACGGGGAGGATGCACGCTGGGAGCTTGCAGCACCCTTGTCCAGGGCTGGGGTGTGCGCGCGCACCCACGCTCAAACAGCTTTGGAATCAGATTTCCCATCTTCGTCAGCAGGATTAGGGCTGTGCGATTCAGTACCGGTGCTGAGCTGCCTGTCGGCCTCGGCAGCCAGGGGAGCCCCCTTGGTCAGCGGAGGGCTCTCCACCGCTCCTGGATGTGAGGCTGGTGTTCTGTGCCACAACACGAGGAGCCTGACTTCATTTTCCAAGGGAAAGCTCTTCAGCTTCCGCAGTCAGTGTGCCATGGACCGGGTGGTTCCAGTGGGGTGGCGTCAGGAGGGGCCCACGAGGGGTCAGTGCCACAGACCCCAGGGCTGGCTCTCCCTCTGCGCCAGGAAGGGGCCCAACCTTACGGCCCCTGCTCCTGGTCTGCAGCCCCAGAGCTGCGGGAACTCGGGGTCTGTGCTGCGTCCCGCGCTGGTGGCGGGAACGGACGGAGACACAGGTCTCGGCCTAGTCAGGCGGTTCCGGAGCGGCTGTTCCCTGCAGCAAGGCCTGCGGCTGCCCTCACTTCTAAGGAGCTGCAACCCGCAAAGTAAGTGTGAACCCTGCTCTGATCGGCCTCCAGGGGCTGCTGCCCTCGCCCGCGGGCTGCCGGGGAGGTGTGTAAAGCCCAGGGAGACGGGCTCCCTCGCTAAGCGACAGAGGCCGCAGCTCCTCGCCCTGGCGTGGAGCCCGCGCGGCTCCTTCCGCACGTGGGAGACGCCCGCCGCCCCTCCCCTGAGCTCCCGACCCAGAACGCCAGCCCCGGGCAGCGTTTGGCGGGAGCTGGGTAGAGACTCACCCTTCCCTCCCGGGCAGTGGCCTGCGAGCAGCGAGGCCCCAAACCCGTCTGCACCGAGTTGCCGGCAGGAAAGGTAGAGGATGAAGCCGACCTGCGGGATTCAGGGTCCGGCACCTGCCCGTCGCCCGGATGCTCTCCCGCCAGCCTGCGAGGCCTGAGCTCCTGCGAGCAGCACAGGATCGGGGTCCCCGGTGGGACGAGGCCCATCACCTGGGCTAAGCCTCGTTAGCAGCAGGCATCAGCCCTCCCCTCGGCACCTGCCCACCAGTCTCCACGTGACCCCCCGCCAGCCGCGGGCACCACCTCCTACTGCCCTGCTCGCGTGTCTGAGCTCTGGCTCTGCCTGCAGGGTCGGGAGTCTCTGCCTGTAGGGTGAGGGGCTCTGCCTGCAGGGTGGGGGGCTCTGCCTGCAGGGTTGGGGGGCTCTGCTCCTGACTCCGGCCAATCAGCCCGCACCACCACCTGCTGCGGCCGGGCACCGCCCCCGCTCGCGTTCCTACCGGTCACCCCATCAGTACCTCCTTAAACAGAGACTGACTCCACCTCCACTCAGGATGACTCCTCCCAAGGAAACCGAAAAGCCGTCTGGGGCTTACCAGCAATTTGGTCCAAACGAACGCTTCCTCCCAGTTCACTAAGGACTGCCACCAGCTTCCGCGTGTGAACGTCTGGTTTTCCTGAGCCTGGTGGGAACCGGACAGTGGGGGGTGAGAGGCGGCCGGTGAGCAGCCCCAGGAAGGGCGTCGGCCGAGTGGCAGGGAAGCCACGCTAGACAGACAGCAGGCTGCACCCGGGCTTCGCACATGCGACTGACTCGTTCGGGCAAGATCGGCAGCCGACACTTTCATATTTTAAAGCGCTGCTTTGGTGCAAGAATTCAATCTAGCAGCCGTGTTTTCTCAACCAAAAATTAGGACACGGGGCCCGGAGATAAGACACGAGAAACAGGGACCGAAAAAGCAAACCGAGAGAGACGTGGGGTGGCTGCGCCCCAAGCCCCCCGCAGCCCTTCCGGCTTCACCCCGGTTCCAGTCCTGATGAGACCACCACTCCCTTCTCTGTTAGAGACCGACTTAGGAGTCTTAACGTTGAGTTCAGACGAGTAGCTTACTGTGTTCTTTGTAGACAAATTATCAACTATATATGGACAAAACTAAAAACGTAACCAGTAATCTATAATTTTACTACCCAGAGAAAGCTACTGAGAATATTTTTCTTTGTGTGTAATGTGTGCAGATATATTGTTACCGAAAGGAGACTGCATTTTTTTCTCTCAATAGATTATAAATAGCTTACATTTCAAAACGTATACAGTAATATCATTGGTACGTGAGTGAACACAGATGAAAGTAAATATAGGGAAATTCGCTGTAATATACTTACAACTTCTCTGTGGCTGTGGACAGAACGAGTAGATGAGAACTCTTATCCGAAGGGCAGAAACAGCTGAATACCCGCAAAGCTCTACCTGCTTCTAATTAGCGACGATCAGTGGAGCATCTGGCCGGGAGGCTACCTGCAACAGGGGCGGGGGCTGCCCTGCTCGCCCACCACCCTTCCTTCTGGATAAACGTCAGAGACAACGTGGCCGCGCCCACTCAGGACACACGGACGAAGCACACAGAGCGGGACACCGTAGGAAGGCAGGAGCCTTAAAGGCTGGATTTCAAGCAGGGAAAGTACCAAGCGGCTAAAACGTCAGTTTGCTACATGTTTAATCTGGATCAAGGCAGGACAAGGTTGGCCACGCCTGCCTCTGGACGGAAACCACGGCACGGGCCCAAACCGGGCTGTCTCCTCACACGGTCGGGGTGCACGGCAGACACCCTCAGCAGGAACAAGGGGAAAGCGGGCATTGCTTTAAAGTGCCGACACGTGAACCAGCGTGAAGCTACACCCAAGGGCAAGTAATTCACGTTCTGGCTCATCACATCCCAGCCGTACGCCGCCCTCCAGTAAGTGCTACATGCCTTTCAAGAGAGGACACGTTTGTAAAATAACACACGTGAAGTCGTGTCTTACTCAACAAGCGGGTGCACCTGGCTCCAGATGGACAGCTCAGCTCACAGCCGTGTGCTCCTCGGAGACCCAGCGTAGCGTCCTGACGACTGTGAACGCACGAAGGACCGTGCTCTCTAGCGCTGAGCCAGGCCTGCAGAAGGAGCCGCCCTTGCTCCGGGGCGTCCCCGGAGCCCCATCAAGGGGAGAACGAGGACAGCAGCACGCCGGGGCCCTGGAGGGCTGGCGGTGTCATCATCGTGCTGCCAGCGCACACATTAATCCTAAAATTCAGAATTTCCTTTGTGCCGTGGACACACGCCCCCAAGAACAATGTGGAAGTGATGACAGATCACTTTTCTTTTTTTTTAATTTGAACACGCTGCGCAGCATGTGGGATCTTAGTTCCCAGTTCCATCTTAGACCAGACCAGGGATCGAACCCGTGTCCCCTGCATTGGGAGCACAGAGTCTTAACCACTGGACCACCAGGGAAGTCCTGACAGATCACTTTTAACACAAAGATTTTTAATCCAGTTTAAAAGAAATACTTAAAGCAAACTGCCCTTCAAATATGCGGTTAATTTAGGGTTTTTCTATGATTATAACAAATTAGGTATAATTGTATCTCAGAATTGTTAACTAAAAAAAAAGGTACAAGTTTTTCTGTTAAAATTCAAAGGCTTGATTGTAAAAGAGATTTACTGTAGGGAGTTTAACCTAGAAATCTCACCTGGAACAAGTAATAACCCAGATAAAATAAAAATTAATTATACACACATACAATCCCACAAAGGATCTAACTGGGATGATTTTAAGGAACCATATGTACCAGAATATAAGGTAACTCCAAGCCACAAGCATAACATTAAGGCAGCTACTTTATCTTGAACAAAAGCGTGGCATAATCAAGCGAGGGTCCCCCTAACACGCCAGCTCATCCCCCATGGCACCCCCTAGCCAGCTTCCCCCGTGCTTTGGGAGAAAAGCGTCTTCTCTCTGCCCACTCCTGTCATCCACTGTCACTCCTTCGCACAGGGCAGGCGTGGCCTCGCCTGGTATCTGCTTAAAGTCCAAGAATCAGGTCCAGATGGGGCAGCTAAGTGGCTGCATTTGAGGCGCTGAAACTCACTGGGTCACAGCTGAAGGCATGAGCTGACACAGGGCCACCGACCACTGGTCCTGAATCAGAGAAAATGAGCGGATTTGCCCACATCTCCACAGCTGCTCCCACGTACAAGCCGGTTCTTCAGCTGCTCCCATTAAAACGTGTTCTGACCCAACCATCTTGCAGACGATCCCATTAAAAAAACGTATTGTGACCCAACCATCTTGCAGAGGAAAGCTCACCTAGCCTCAAGTCTACAACACAAAAGCAAAGAGAATACGACTGATTTTCTGCTGCCATCAGGTCTGGGACCTTCACAAGAGGGGCCGGGGTGCGCCAGGCCCCAGGGCACCACTAGGCCGTCTGCGCCAGAAACTCTAGGTACTGCCCGCGGGCCTCGAAGTGGTCAGCCGGCCGGCTGTACGCCGTCCACACTGGGTCTCCCACAAACAGCCGCATGGCCTTCACGTAGTTCTAGAAAACAAGCAAACACAGCAGCAATGGTTAGACCAGCTACGGAGGTTAACGCTCCTTGCTGTTTTATCCCTGGATCTTAGCACTTTCTTCCATCTTCTGAGAGGCAGCGTCGGTGCCACGGCGAGAAGGCCTCGTGCTCGGGCAGCCAAAGCATCTGCGGCTCCAGCTCAGTGCTGACCCTGCACTCTCTCAGCAAACACACCAGCCGTGAGCGCTGACCCTGCCTGGGCGTGTGCCCCTCCTCCCCTCCTGCTTCCTTTGGTACTGGTTTCCCACGAATTAGAAGGGAGAGCTGCCTGCGTCACAGTAGAAACGTGCACACCTGTCCATCCAGGGTTCACTTTCAGGAATTTATCCCTCAGGTACACTCACATAAGTACAAAATGACGAATGTTTGAGGTTACTTATTACGGCACCGTTTACAACAGCAAAACACTGGGAACAGTTGGTGTACCCATCTTTAGGGGTCACCCGTCAATGGGATAAATCAGGGTACGTCCCACAGTGGACACCAGGCAGCTGTAAACAGGAACGAGGCCCTTTACATCCTGAAACAAAACGATCCCAAAGCACCGCGAGCAGAAAAAAGGAAAATGCGGCCCCACCTACAGAAGTTGGCTACCTCCTAAGGAAAAGGGAAAGAATACTGACTCACGTTTGCCTGATATGGGTGCCAGTGCTCTAAGGAGACTTTTAAGGACATAACAGTGGTTACTTTCAGGGAGAGATACTGGGCGCTGGGAACAGGGGTGACAAGGCGACTCTTCACACACCGCCTCATAATCCTGAGTTCTAAACCCAGTGCGTTCAGTTCCTAGCCAAAAATTGTGCTTAAATCTCAGATTCATCCGAATCACACCCAGAGACCCTCAGAGCCGCCCTATTCCTGCTTCTGTGGCCGGTCTCGGTGGCTCTAGTGCACGACTGTTAAGGCCCAACTGAAATGCTCTTAAAATGATGAGGGAGCAGTGACCCTGAGACCCACACAAAGCCGGACCCCTGGACGGATGCCTCCTGCTGACCTGCGTGCAAGGGCCCAGGCAGGCAGGGGGCCCCGTGGCGCTGGCCACTCACTCAGAGGTAGGTAGCATCCTCGCCTCACGCCGCAGGGCTGAGTGTCCACGTCCATGCACAGACCAGGCCCCAGCAGAGAAGACGAAAGGCCCACCTTCTCGTCCAGCGTGAAGCGGTGGTATATCCCGGCGGGGAGAGTGATCATGTCTCCTTTCTCCATGAAGATCCGGATCCACCTGTCCTCTTTATCCCTCACGTCGAAGTACCCACTGCCATCCAGGATGTAGCGAATCTCATCATCCAGGTGTAAATGCTCCTCATAAAACATCTTAATCTAGAGCAGGAGGGGGTTCTCGTGAGCCCTGAAGACCAGGACTGAGGTGCCAGACACGTGCTCCACAGATAAGAAATATCATCCTACGTACGAGGGGGCAGGAGCTACAATGCTTTGTGGAACCGACCGGTGGACTAGCGGGAAAGGAAAGAAGGAACGCACGGCGCTTACCGCGTGCCAGGCGAAGCTCTAAGTGCTTTATATGAATAACTCACTCAGGTGCTCTCTGTCACCCCCGCTGGACAGATGAGGGATGTGGCTCAGAGAGGCTAGGTCGCCAGCCCAACATCACACAGCCTGGGTGTGTAGAGCCTAGACTCCCACGCAGACATCCTGGCTCCTGCAGCACACACGGCAGGCATGCTGATCACACGCACACACACATCACGTGATCACATGCACACACCATCATGCTGATCACATGCACACACATCACGTGATGTCACACCCCATCACGCTGATCACACCCGCATACACACATCACGCAATCACACGCACACGCATCATGTGATCACACACACCCCATCATGCTGATCACACACATCACGCGATCACACGCACACACCATCACGTGATCACATGCACACACACCACGAGATCAAATGCACACAGCAGTCACGGTGATCACACGGGCAGATCAGAAGCCACGTGTGCATCTGAGGAAGCCAGTCACCATCTCAACAAACATTTTCCACCTGTCCAAATGTACTTTTGTGTTTTTCAGATCTTTATCCCTCTAACGTTTATAATAAAAATATTCAAATATGAACAAAAGTTGAAAGAATTCTACAGTAAACGCCCATCTTGCCTTGTTATGATCTCCCATCTCTCCCCATCCTGCACAGGAGTTTTAAAGCTTTCCTTGAATAATGTCGGCACGTTTCTGGAAAATCCACAGATGTAGCAAAGCACATGAACACCTCCCTGTCAACCCCGTGGACTGGTGAGGCTGTGAGGACAGGCCCCCCGCCGCTCAGGGCCCAGAGCCCCTGGAAGGTCAGCACAACTGAGCATGCGCTGACCCCGCACCCCTCGTGGGGTTCACCCTGAAGAGACACCCTGGCGACACACAATATGCACACGTCACTCCCTGCCGTACTGGCTGTAAGACACTGGGAACAATTCAGAGGCCCAAGCAGAGAGCGGGAGAATACACAGCGGACGTGAGCACACCATCACGATAACCGGAGACCAGCAGCGTGGGTCACAGCGGGATCAGTGGGACGGTGTGGAGGAGGCAGGGAGACGGATCTTCCCTGTTGCATAATTTTGGCTTTAGAACCTAGTTATGTTTTACAGAGACATAAATAAAATGAAAACAGGCTTGGGGGCGGGGAGGGGGGCCATAAGTCTGAAATCAAGAGAGATGCTCATAACCAAAGAAGGAAGAAAAAACTCATCTAAGTACCTTCTGAACACATTACTTTGACTACATCCTCAGTTTGAGACAGCACCACAAACAAGCCTGGAACTCCAGGGACCGGCCTGCTGTTCGTAACAGTGTGGCTGCAGCTGCCACCCTGGAAGCATGGGGTGTGTAGAAGGGTCGGTGGGACTGGAGCCGAGTTCTTGCTGTGGGAGGACAGAGACCCGAGTCTCTCTACAGACTGAGGAGGAGTCCCAGGAGTGTGACTGGACTCAGAGGCATCAGCGTGAACCAAAGATTGCTCTCACACGGACACGCACACACACAGGGACACACACGGACACGGGGACACACACACGGACACACACGCACACACGCACACACACGGGGACACACACATGGACACGCACACACGGACACATACACAGACACGGACACGCACACACACGGGGGGACACACACACATATACACACGGACACAATACACACACACGGGGACACACACACGGACACACACGGACACGCACACACACACAGGGACACACACACACATATACGGACATGCACACACTCTCTCTCTCTCTCTCTCTCTCTCTCTCTCTCTCTCTCTCTCTCTCTCTCTCTCTCTCTCCCCTCACACACCGCTC